TCCTACACATTGATGACATACGCATCATCACTTGGTGGGTGGATGCATCATTTGCAGTCCATCCTGATTACCGTTCCCATACAGGAGGAGTCATGTCCTTTGGAAGTGGCGCGGTGCTGTCTGTGTCTGCGAAACAGAAATTGAATTCGAGGAGCAGCACGGAAGCGGAATTGATTGGAGCTGACGATGTCATGTCGCCCATGTTGTGGGCAAAGTTGTTCCTTGAAGAGCAGGGGATCGTTGTGAAGGACAACATCCTCATGCAGGACAACAAAAGCACGATCATCCTTGCAGAGAATGGCAAAGGCAGTTCGGGCAAAAGGACTCGGGCCATCAACATTCGTTTCTTTTTCATTCATGATCAGATTGGAAAAGGAAACCTCAGAGTTGTGTACTGCCCAACCTTGGAGATGCATGGAGACTTTTTCACGAAGCCCCTTCAGGGCAAGCTCTTCCATGAGCACATGGCTTTCATCATGGGGCATCCACCCCTTGTTTGATTTCCTAATTTATTTATTCGTTCCACGGTAGCCACTTGGGGCACCGTGCAGGAGTGTGTTGGAGGAAATATACCTGACACCTCTTTACTATTGACTCGTGTATTAATCATCTAGTCCGGTTTGCATGCATATTCATGATGCAAGGAACCAAGGGAGTTTTAGGTCTAAAGTGTTGCGGGGGTCCTTATATCCAATTCAATCACAAGAATTGCTATGCACCACCAGAAAATCCTCACTTTTGCTTTTCAGCTTAAACCAAAAACCAAATTACCCCTCAATAAGCTGCAGTGCTAGCCTTTAGCTAGACAAACAACACAGGCCATGGATACCGAGTAAGCCACGTCTGTTCTAGAGCGATGGTTACTTCGTCTGCTGCTTTGGAGCAGATCTCAGCAATCTCGAACCATCCGGTTACGGGATCAATCATTGTCAGGCAATGAAGTGTACAGGAATTCTTTTTCTTAGGATCCCCGACGTTGTATGGACCTATCAGGTCAATGCATAGTCTTTCCCAAGGGATCTCCTCGCAAGTCTTTGGAGGAAGCAATCCCAGCTTACGTGTCTTGGGTTGTTCAGTTGGCAGCTTTGGCAACGCTGACATACGGACTGCACAGTCTTGCGCAACCCTTTCCAGGTGTAGTGTTGACTGATGGTAAGTTCCGTGCGAGTCTCGCCAGGATGCATCAGTACACCATGATACCATTCGACCAGCTTCTTCTGCATGGTCTTAGGCACAACAATCTTGTCGTCCTTGACTACTAGTTCATAGGACTTGTCCCCTCTGGGAAAAGATTGTTTCTTGTAGTTGTTTGGCTTGTCCCTGAGGAGTTTCTTGATATCGTTATCGTCCTTCTGGCGATGTTCGATCTCGGGGAACGAGAGAGGGAAGTCACTAGGGAAGTCCTCTTCGTCTGCAGCCATGAGCTCAGCGATCTCGCTGGCATCCATTTGTTCTGAAGAACCATCGTTGTTTGAGATGTTACTAAGTCTGGACAACGCATCAGCGACGATGTTGTGTTCGCCCTTGATGTACCGAAGTTCAGGGCCGTATTCTTCTAGAATAAGGCGCCATCGCATAATGCGATCGGTATTGAAATTCTTGCAGGTGAGATTCTTGTGGTCCGTATGTACTACAATCTTCTGCCCGAGAAGAATGTTACGGAACTCCTTGAGAGTCTCAACGATACTGAGAAGTTCCTTCTCAGTTACCGTGTAGCGTGTTTGAGCGGGATTGAGTTTCCTGCTGTAGAACGCGATAGGCTTTCCCTTCTGGGAAATCACTGCACCCAGTTGTGTATCACTTGCATCCGTGTGGATAACAAATGTATCGTTGAAGTCAGGGTAAGCGAGCAAGGTTTCTTTGCTGATGATTTTTTTCATCTGGCGAAAGGCCTTGTCGTGTTCAGCTTCCCATTTCCATTTCTTGGTTTTGGAAGTAAGTGTAGCGAGTGGTGCTAGTACATGTGATCGTCTGATCCACATGTCTCGATAGTAGTTTACTAGTTCAATGAATCTACGAAGTTCCTTCCTATTCGTAGGAGGAGCGATATTCTGGATCGCATCTATTTTCTTGGTTACGGGTTGGATTCCTTCTCGAGTAATCCAGTAGCCTAGGTACTCAAGTTCTCCTCTTGCGAAGAAGGACTTGATAGCATTGATCTTAAGTCCGGCTTCTCGAAGCCTTCGGAGAACTTCATCTAACTTTCCAACGTGATCTGCTAGATCGCCGTTAGTTAGGATGAGTAGATCATCAATGTATGCACGGACGTATTCCAAGTCGTGCATGAGTGTTCCCGTCTTCTCTTGGAAGATGTCGGGACTATTGCATAGGCCCATTGGCTATCTCTGGTACTCATATTTTCCCCATGGAAGAACGATAGTACAGAGTTGTTTCGAGTGAGGTGACAGCTCGATGTGATAGTATCCCATGTTTAAGTCGAGACTAGTAGCGTACTTGAATCCATCTAGATTCAACAGCATGTCTTGTATCTTTGGGATCGGATAAGGTTTTCGCTTAATCCTTTTGTTCAGTTTCTGGAAGTCAGAGATGAATCGTACAGATCCATCCTTCTTGGGAATGATAAATGTTGGTGCCGCCCACTCGGAACGGTTCACCTTCTTGAGTACTCCTGCTTCGCAGAGACGTTCAACCTCCATCTTAAGAGTGTTGGTATGGACACGTGGAATAGGATAAGCCCTAGCATGATAGGGTTTAGCATCAGGAAGAGGTTCTACTTCGTAGTCGTCCATCTGCCACTTTCCTAAAGTGCCATCGAATAGGCCGGAGTACTTAGTCAGTAAGGAATGGAGCTGTTCCTGCTCTTCCTTATATTTAACTGATCTTGACTCTGGCATGGGTATAGCAGTGCATTTTCCCCCAGACAAAAACTTGGTTTGTACTCTTTGTCAATGCTGCATCTACCTCATGCAATGAGATCACAAGTTTGGTATCTTGCTTGCTGCTATCACTGGGCTGGTGCCATCTATTAACTTATTCCTGGAAACCTACATGCCATCTTTCTTTATATCTGGCTGCAATGAATAACAACCACAACAACAATCTTTTGAGAGATCTATTACTATTATGAAACAAATTAAACGAATGAGAGCGATGGTCCTTAGGGGATTTATGGGATTTGAAAAACACGCAACCAACCAGTTGAACAACAGAAGAGCTTTAGTTACTGTTCAGTGCAGCAATAATTATTGGTCCAGCCTTGATGCATGAGCAGCAGTGCTCGCAATGCTGCTGCAGAATAGGAGTGTGTTGGGCAAGCAGCCTCTCTGGCTTGCCTGGTATGCCCTGGCTTCCAATAAGACATTTGTGTGGTTGAAGAACAATCATCAGCAGGATAGAAAAAAAAACACTTCTTTGTAAAAACGAGTAGTATGATTTGTTTACGTAGGAACAATAGACTTCACGCAGGCTAGAGCTAGCTAGCTGCGTAATACTTCTCAACAATGTTCGTTCAACAACCGGCACCTTGATGAACACTGAATAGATAGAGAGACTCTGAGTCAATGGAAGAACAATTTCATAGGCATTCTAATTCTTACCATATGTGTTATACAAAACCAAAGAGGTTGCTTCATCCCTCCGAGCCCCTTGCTGATTGCACTTGACCACTCAACTATAACCAGTACCACTTGACCTTGTTGACTGAGAATTCACTCTTCTAATCAACAATTGTTGGCTGATCAATTTTTTGTTGTGAGAATTGCAGACTGTGTTGGACAAACAACATAAAGACAACCTACAGTTAACATGAACAGCTTTCTAGTTGATTTTACCAAGAGAATTGAGTGCTTCTGCTGATGACCCTTCAGAAGCATGTGGCTTGCAGCAGTACATGTATGAAACTTTGTACCCTGTGGTACCAAAGCAACATAGGGCAATGACTCGACTCCATCAGATGAAGAACAGCGCAACACAGCCACGATGGATCCTTGGAAGAATGTATCTTTTTTTGTACCATACTTGACGCCAATGTGATTGCACTGATGGTACCTTAACTCTAACCTTGTCACCAGGGTTACCCTCTGTTCCTATGCATACATTGTACTGGAACACTCACGATAAAGTAGGATTTATTGACATGACGTGGCTCTCATTGTCTGAAGAAACTCGACACAATGTCTGGAAACTTTCCGACAATGTCTGAGAAAATGCCGACATTCACAGACATGTCGTTAAATCTGCAGACATTGTCAGACATTTTCCGACATTAAGATTATTATGATGTGGCTGAATGAGTCTTCTTTTTCAATTAAAGTTCCGAGTCATACAGGATGTTAGATTTAAAGTCTCTCAAGAAGGCTTCGGACAATTTTCCAAAAAAACGCAGACATTTTCCGACAACGTCAGACATTCTTAACCATCCATTAAATATTTCAGACATTCTCAGACATCGAAGTCAGAAATCCGACATTCACGATTAATAAGAATTGAAGCCCTCTCACAGTACTGGCTAGCTAGTACGTAAATGGCTCTTTCATACTTTTCCGCGAGTGTTCCAGTGTAGCTAGCAAATTCCACGTTTTAGTACGTACTGTAGATTTTCACAGAAGGGACACAAAGGCAAAAAGCAAAGGGCGGCTAGCCAGCCATTTGTGTTCCCCCAAAAAGAACGAAGTATTATTTTTCGAAGGCTGCACCTTGCACCTCGCTAGCTAGTAGACTGACTGCTGTACGGAGCCATAATGAACCCACATACCTCAGACATACAAAGATGCCCACATAGGAATGGGGCTACTTGCAAGGCCGCAGAAAGTGTAAAAACTCTGGCTGGTGCTTGACGACTATGAGTATAACAGCTATACCATTTGCCATGTATGGTAATCCCCCACATGGCATATTGCCTTTGTGTTGACGCGTTTCTTGCGTGCATTTGTGTTAGCTACCAATAGGACACCACCCTTCCTATGAACTGGATTTTGGAGCAGGGTCTGGAGCGCCTCCTGGCTGCCTTGTCCAACCCAAAACTCAGATTTACTCACCCCGTCAGCCCTTGGTACAGCCAGCACCCACTACATGTATGCTGCTTGCATCTACTGTAGACCCAATGGTTTTTTCCAGGCCAGGCTGCTTGTCTTTCCACGTTTTCGTTTTGCTGAGGAGCTAGCTAGTAGGACTTCTGGCAGCCTAATGGAGGGCAATGGTCGCAGTCAACAAGTTTATTTACATTTACGATTTGTACAGCACCTTTGTAGAGTTTACTCAATGCAGACAACGATATGCGGAAGGAACTTTTGATCATGCTGATTGGAATTTACGACGAACAAACGCATCAAACTCGTGGTTCCTTGGATTGGTTCCTTCTGTTTCATTCTTTTGAAGAATGTCTTGCACCCACATGGACCTCCAAGCCGTATCGTTCTGGTTGCGATAGGACTTTGGCAAGCCTGCACCATGCAGCAGCTCTTTTGCCTTGTCATATCCCTCTGTCTGGACCAAACCATCAAGCCAGGGTCGGATGTTGTCATCCGTTTCTTGTTGATCCCCTGCTTGAAATTCCCAGGCTTCTCGTGATCTCTCGCCACCCCTTCGAGAATCATCACGAAAACTAAAACTCTCCCAAGATCCCAGGTAATGATTGATTCGCAGGCCGGCTTCTTTATCCTTTACCCACGGCGCTTGGCAAATGGAAGGTATTGGCCTGTGAAGACTTCGAAAGCGAGGAGTGTCGGACAGGTTGACGCGAGACACATCAATGATAACCTTTGCCAAATTGTTGTGGACAAAGTCGTCTCGCTTGCAGTGCTTTCTCCAACGAAAAGTATCCAGCTGTTCAGCATCAAAGCCTCGAGGCATGTCTTTGGCCCTTTCTTGCAAAGTTGACTCTACAGCACCAAAGTGAAGTCTTGGGACGCTAATGCATGGACCGAAGTAGTCGTTTCCACTTGCTTGTTGTTGCTGGATGTACCTGATCATTGCTCCTTGTTCCGCAGTGTTTGGTGTGTGTGTCTTCTTCCAAGGCGTTGGCGGTGGTTGATTGTAGACGAGATATTCGTCAGTATCATGCATAGTTACATAGGTTCTATTTGCAGCTTTCATCTTGACCAAGCAGGATCTATAGAACACTTTTTGCCTTGCTCGATGCCGGTCTCTCTTGACTTGAAAGCGTGCATCATTGTCAAGTTTTTTCTTTGCCAACCGAGGATCGAGAAAGTCATGATCGGTCCATTCTTCAATGTAGACGCCCATTTTTCGGTATCTGTTCAAGATGGCGGTGGGTTTGGTCCTGCTCCGCGGATCTACCGCCACAATGAGGTATCGTAAGGGTAGCACATGATAATGATATGCCATCCACTCCACGGCTCGATGGTTGTCGTCCATGACTAATAAGCAAGCCGCAAAGGTATCATTGCCTGATGGTGGTGGGCTTGGATTGTCCACGGGATGTTCGTCGGGCAGTGGCAGCTTGTTGCTCATGCTCATCCCATTTAACTGCTGCCTTGTGATCTCTTCATCATCGTCGAGTTGCAGTTTCTTGCGCCGAAACGTTTTTGCTGATGGTAGCAATAGACGAGGCGCTCTTTCTCTTTGACGGAATTTCCTCAAGGAGGAAGCAAGCACCGGACTTGTATGACTGAGTTGAGAGACGTGATTTGCAATCAGAAAGTTGGAAATCAATGCTGTCAGCGAGAGCGCGACAAGCGATATGGTAAGTATTGAGGTTGGTGGTAGAGTTTTGCTTCCTGGTGCCATGATGTTGCCTGATGCCTGTTTGGTGCTCTGCCTGGCTACCTCTATTAGTAAATGCAGTAGAAACCTCCCTCACCACAAATGCTACTCTACCGGTACGACAAGTCCAAAAATCGAAAAATTGGTAGGGTGTTGGGTGCACGATGACGCCACAGGGCCAGATACAAATACTGGTATAATAATATTATTGTGGTAAAGGAAATCAAAATTGTGAGCGAAAGCGAACTGATGATCGATCGACAGACGCTACTTAGAAAGTATCCGATACAACGGATTCCACTTTCAGATTTGCAATTCAAATACTGTCACAAAATTCGCCTCCACAGTTGCTCGGTTGGTTCCGGTCTGTTCCATTGAGACTAATGACCATGGCTTACATGCGGTTTTTGTTGACGACGGCTCTGCCGTTCGTGGCAATTCTATGCCCTATCCAGGCACAAGGGCTAAGACGGTTGCGCAAGACGGCTTTGAGAGTACCAGATCTCAATCCTATTCTTGCTACCCAACAACAAAACAACGAGAATCGAGATGCCGGATTTGAGCTTATACAACATGATGAGCTAGAAGAACTCTTCTTCAACGAAGTATTCCGGCTCGATGCTTCCATGTCCATGTCCTTTGTTGACGATGTTCGCAGTGACGATGGAGGAGGCGGCGGTGGAGGAGGAGGAGGTTCTAGTAGTAGTAATGTTATAGGAGTTGTGGGAAGTGATAATAACGTTGTCACAGGCGGTGGAGGAGGCGATGGGTCTTCTATCTACCAAAAGTGTGGAATCACCGCAAGTGAACGGAGGAACCAATTGCTAGATATCCTTTCGGAAGTTTCCGACAGATCAATGCTCTTGGACATGTCCACCTCTCAGTACAACGCCAGATATTGGTTAGACAGTGAAGATGATGCCATGATCTGCACGGACAACAGCGCTCGTGTAAAGCAACGATACAGAGCAGGATTACTCTACTTCCAGTTTGGAGGAGATAATTGGGACAACTGCCGTGCACAAGGAGGAGCCTGCTTTCAGGAAGATTCCACCAGCGTCCCTGCCATTCGCTTCTTGGACGGGAGCAATGAGTGTCTATGGTTTGGACTTTCCTGTGCTGGTGTCATAAGGGAAGCCCTGCCTTTGGATAATGACGAAATCTCACCAGATGAATACAGACCTATTGTTAAAGTGGATATCAGCGACAACGGTCTTCAAGGTGATTTGTTCCATGAGCTCTTTGGGTTGACAGAACTCCAAGAACTCACCCTCGATGGAAACAAGCGAATTTCAGGCACCATTCCAGAGGCCATTGGACAGCTAACCAACCTGGTTGCCCTGGATATTGATGACAACTCCCTGCAAGGAAAAATACCAAATAGTCTCTATTCTTTAACCACCCTGGAAGCCATTGATTTGAATAGTAACTCGTTGACTGGAAGTGTCTCCAATGACATTGGCAATCTCAAAAATCTTGTGGTATTGCAACTGGACAGCAACGACCTGGATGGTGCAATGCCAACGGATGGACTGTTTCAACTTGAGAAGCTGGGTAAGTTTCATCATGTGTGTCAGACTGTTTGTGGAAAGTTACTCGATTGATACATTGGCTAATGACCCATACTTTACTTTTTTTGCTCATTCTACAGCGGTCTGGACAGTCCTTGACAACGCGATCACAGGTTCTACCGAGAGGGTTTGTGACGTGCTCGACGAAAGGCGGGTGACGAATGACTTCCCGGGTTACCTTCAGTTCTTCTGGGTGGATTGTTTGGGCAATCCGCCACAGGTGGAATGTTCATGCTGCGAATGTACGGAGCCAATGAGCCCTACTTCGTTTTGATGAAATTTGTTGCGGGGATAGACTTGTATTTGGGAGAGAGAGAAGAGCGATATTTACACCTTTTCCTGTGGTACTACAGGTCTGAACGGTATTGTGAGAGAAAATGTACTTTCGTACTGTAGCCAACAACGCAAGCTATCTTGTGCGCCCGGACCAAATCCCATCTGCTCTCGTTTGGAATGTCAGTAATGATGGATATAGGAATAAACAAGAAAGAAGATTGATCAGACTCTTCTCTTTTTGTTTCTAGTTTACAAAGTGTATGGGCTGGCTACCACACTTGAAAGAAAGAATGAAATCTTGCTGAATATATACACCTACTTGTATGGAAGAAATTATAGCTACGGAAGCTGTTGGGCAGTGGTTGTGTTTACTTGTACAGGATCATACTAGTAGTGTAATTATTTAGTTTGTGTTCTCAGTTATGCATTGTGTGATAACTATGGTAGAACATGCACAGCTACATTACGCAGATACCTGCTCTAGCTAGCTAGCCAAAGGCGAGGACTTTCCTAAGACAGAATAGAATAGCTCAACCCTGTAGTCTGCCTGGAGTGGCTATGCCATACCGGTGCCGTAGCAGAAGTGCCTTATCGCATGTACATGTACATGTACCTGGTACTAGCTAGTACATGTAGTGCCATCATCGCAGATCTGTTCTGCCCCAAGCAATCTAGCTAGAAAATATTGGCGGGCGCATCAGTAGTCAAGTCTTGTTCAAGATAAAATATTATTGCATTTTCTTGACAGTGCGCTGCTGTTTATAAACCATTCCGACCGTCGTTCCGCTGGGTTCGCTCCGTTGACCTACTACGGACATCAGCCCTCCCACTTCGATTAGTAGACGTACACCCAAGCCAATGCCGCCTCCCAGCCAAGACATGAGTTCACCCAAAGAGACTGGCTTTGAACTTTCAGAGTCAGCGAGACAAGAAGAGAACGGAGCCATGAACACAGAGAGCACCGGGGCCGCTTCACCGAATGGTGGTGATTCAAGTGCCGTGCAACCACCGAGACGACGAAAGAAACAGTACGATTCTCTACTGTATATACTATTACCCAGCTAGCGGTCTTTTTCTATTATGGTTGGAGTATCTCACGCATTTGTTCTGTTCTATTTCTTAGATTCGCTGTATCGACACGATGGGAACAAGAGGTGGCGAGTCGCGGCCAACCGAGCGACATGCATAGCTACTTTTGCTGTTGTGCAAGACGGGTTGGCAACATGTTTATTCTACTGGAGTACGCAGATGGATCACCGATCGTTGTGGCTGGGCCTTGTTGGCCATTTTGTCTTCTGGTCACGGTGCCTCTGATTCTGGGTATATCCGCATTGGTTTCTTATTTCTTAGTCCTCAATGAGGACTCTGGTTTGGTAAGTCACGATAAGTATGGCTTGTTGTTCTGGGTGGG